CCGTTGTAGTTTACGTATTAACCTCGTATCGGTAGTTGTATAATGCGATGACAGCTGATACAGACGCCGGGGGGGAGGGGTGGATGTCTGTGCGAGTTGGTACGCGGGTATTGAGGTTTACTCAGTGAAAAAATGAAGAATGTACTCGTAGGTGTATGAAAGGTGTTCTTGTTCCCTTGGAACCGTGTGGTCATGCAATGGTTGTGTGTGAGAGAGAGGGGATGGGCGGTGTTGAGATAGAAGCGAGGTTTTTGTCAAAGGGGCAATCGGATCGCGTAGTTTTTCTTCACCCCCTCTCTACGTACGTTTTACGGTGCACGGCGATTATCGGAGCGCTTGATCTTTTGAAAGATCAAATGTATTTTGTCGTTATTCCTCTACTACTAAAATGAGGTGTAGTAGGTTTGTATGTATGAAGATAGGATTGTCGGTTGTATGAGGCTTGTAGGAGAGTGTAGGCAGGAAAGAGAGAGAGAGATGTGAGATATGGAGAATGAAAGACCCTGAAATCTTTCCTCGTCTTCTTTTTCGTACCTCTCTTTACTACTCCTTATACTTGACTTATTCAAGGATTTAACCGTGCGTCTCTGCTCTATTACACCAATATGATTTCGAATAGCTCATCACTCGGTACCCTTGAAAGAAGTGGAGAGACAAGATACAATGAGATGGTGCTGTTAGCAAGGATAGGAAGAGCATACCAGTCATGCCAGTCAGTTGATGATAGGAGAGACATTTCCCGGTTAATGAGCTTACAAGGTTTCGGCCATGTGGGGTCGATTTGTTTCTCATACCCTTCATCTACACTTTGACTCTCGATATGCATAATATGTCACCTCTACTCCTCTGGGGTTACATGACCAGTTGCTTATACATGCATATACAGTACCATACCCCTTTCCAACGAAGAGGTAAAGTGGAGTAGTGGAGAAGAGAGGGTAGTTTTGCAACGCGCCCCGGGATATCGGCGTCAAAGCGAGCTAACAACTTAAGCGAGGCACCTCGGGATCGACACCACCATACAAAAGCTTCTCTTTCCCTATTGGGCAACTATCCACATCACGTGACGAGGTCTCTTATCACCACGACACCATCTTACCAAGTAGCCATCTAGCTATATAGCTAAATTACAGCTAATCTACTACAATTTATCACATGCATACCCCATCACCTCACACTGTCAACTGATACTCATACTCATCACTCCCACTCTGAGAGATCCACAATATCACAGCGCTCAACATGATACCACCGTTCATACCCACGTTGGCCCAGCCGTAATACGTGTAACCAGTGAAATCGGGAACGATGTATTTCAGGATTAACACGGTCTGATATCAATAGTTGCCTCACCAAACATCTATCCGAGCGAATATGTACGACTTTAAGTGGTGGTGGTGGTGGTGGTGGGGGGGGGGGGGGAGGCACAATAGTGGGAGGTGAGGTCGAGGTAACATGACTTACCAATGACCCCGCCAATCCACCTGCCATCAAAGCTACACCGACAAACAACACCACTCTAGCTCTCCACGCAGCAGGACCGTCACTAGACCATGCATCCCCTGAGAGAGCAGAGTTGAGGTGAGTTTTGTCGAGTAGAGACACGACTAGAAAACCCACTATGAGTCAGCTTGCTGGAAGTTTTCTGGGAAGCTGACTCTGACGTATCTTCTAACATAGCCCAATTCTATCATCCGATGTCAAGGGTGGATATTCCCCATCAACCCAATCCGAAGGGAGTTGGGTGGATCCTAAGAGAGAGAGACAAGTGGCATTTTGAGAGTAAAGCTTGGAGACATGAATATGAGAGGTAAGTGGTTACGGAGAGGTACAACAAAAGAGAATGGACCCACGTGTGGAACATATAGCAGGTATCCAATCTACAAAACTCATATGAACAGGTACGACATCGTATGGTGCGTCTGGAGGAGGTTTAGCATGAGATGAAAGTGTAGAAGCGTCTAATAAGAGGAAGAAGGATAGTGCGAACTGATATTAGTATTCTTCAATCTCATCCTTATTCATCTCCCCATCAGCATGTAGTGAGTTTACATTTCTCAGAGGCTCGCGCATGAGTCAGATAAGAAGTGGAAAAGATACGAGAGAAGACTCACCAACCCTCCGGAAAGATAAGTGCCGACTTGTCGAACCCTCGGTCCAACTTCGAAAGAAGGTAAGGAGAATCGGAATACTCTACGAGGATCGTATGTCGCCTAATTGTCAGTAACAAACTTGGATGTACGAGCACAATGAATAGGCTTACTCGTGGTATCGACATGATGGGTTTGGTGAATGATTCAAGAAAACTCGGCTCTATGGGGAGGGACAAAGGGAGAGCATGAGTGGGCAAATGACGTGGCTTTATGGAATTTTTGTGATACGTTTGTTACCGCTCAAAAGTTACTTTCCAACTTCCCACAGGCCAAAGAAGTACCAAAGCTGTCCACTACAAGCATCTCACCACGAACACAGCACCAGTCTCAAGGAGGATCTTGTAGTTAGAGGAGAGTGTGGGAATAGATACAATCCGAGAGTACCCAGTCATTTCAAGTTTGGACAAGATGGCTAGGAAAACTACAAAAACCCCTTTCACTTCCCAAACCCTCACCCACTCCAAATCTAAACCAAAGTCAAGCAAGAAACTCAACCCTACCGAATTATACACCTACTTACCTTCATTACCAAAACGTCATCGTACTTCCGCCCAAACACTCTCTCTATCTCGAGAAGAGTCCGCAGCCCATGAGAAAGATGTAAGAAGAGGTGGGAAAGGGAAGAAACGGGATGAAGAGGATGATGGAGAGGAAAAGATGAAGGATAGGATAGCCAAGGTAGCCATGATGATTGCGTCGGAGGAGACGGGTGTGGTAGAGGATGAAAGTGAGGTAGAGAGTGATGATGCTTGGGATGAAGGGGATGAGGATAGATGGGGGGATATGTTGAGGGATATGAGGGGCAAGTCAGGGGACGGGAGGAGTGGGAAAGGGGAGAAGGGGGATAAGAAAGAGGAGAAAAGGAAGAGGGTAAAACCGATAGAGGTGAATTTGGATAGTGATGATGAGCAACAGTTGGATGACTCGGAGATGGAGGATGAAGGGTCCGACGAGGAATACGATTTTGAACAAGACGAAGAAGAGGTCGATGAGAATGAGGAAGAGGAAGAGGACGAGGATGAAGATGAGGAACCTACAAAGGTCTCAGTACCTCGAAAACCCAAGGTCACCTTTCAAGACGACGTGGTGGATGAAGTTTCTGATCAAGTAGACGACGAGTCAGCTATGGAAGATGACAGCGAGGGTGAAGACTCATCTCAAGTCTCCGATCCTTCCCTTCCATCTGATATCTCTGACGACGAAGATGATCCCTCTCAACTGGCTTCTTTAAACGCCTTTGTCGATTCTTTAACGTCCGTCGACCCTTCTATGACTGAAGGTAAAACTTCCTCCGATGCCTCAAAAATAAAACCCAAGCGGCGTCTTCTTCCTTCACTCCCTTCTACATCGTCCGCACCTCTTTCCGGAAAACTCGATCTCTCTTCCCTCGTCTCATCCCACCCATCCCTCTCATCATCCACCGCAGCCTTATTGAAAAAAGACAAGAACATCACCACTACCTCCATCCTCAAATCTGGCGTCGTTTCCGCTCCCCTTCCCACAGTGGTAAAAGAACGTCTTGACCGTGAAGCGGCCTATGAACAAACTCGACAAGAAGGATACAAATGGTCCGGAGTAATGCGACGTATAAAACAAGCTGATCATCTATCTTTCCCCCTTCAAGCATCTGATAGAGGAGGTGTCAAGACCCCAGGTCAAGTGTTGGCCAGTTTCAAACCTGAAACCAAATTAGAATCCGCCATTCAAAATTTATTAGACAAAGCAAATTTGACCGATAAGAGTATGGAAAAACAAGAAGATGAAATGTTAAAAGGACAAGAGATGACTTTGGAAGAAATCGCTGAACGTAGACAAAACTTGAGACATCAAAGAGAACTAATGTTCAGAGCTGAAAGTAGAGCTAAAAGAGTAGCGAAGATCAAATCCAAGACATTTAGGAAATTAGCTAGGAAACGAGAGGGAAAATTATCATCTCAAATTGAAGTGGATGAAGAGGAACAGAGGGAAAAATTGGAAAGATTGAGAGCTAAAGAAAGGGCGACTTTGAGACATGGTGCACAGACTAAATGGGCAAAAGGAGTAGGAGGAGCGGGTGAAGTTGAAGATCGTAGAAAAGCAAAAGAGGAAATGTTGGATTTGAAAGAAAGGTTGAAAAGTAAGATTATGGGTGGTGATCATTCGGATAGTAGTAGTGATGATGATGATAACGATAATGACGAACAGGAAGAAGGGATAAAAAGAAAAGCTTTTGATCAACTTGATAAATTGGATGAAAAGGAGAACGATGAGGAACAAGGGGGATTGTTGGGAATGGCTTTTATGAAGAAAGCTCAAGAGAGGAGGTTGAGGTTGGCTAGGGAAGAAGAAGAGGGTTTGAAGAGAGATATTGAGATGTTTGGGAGGGATGGGGATGGGGAGGATCAAGATGAGGATGAGGATGAAGAGATGGGACAAGTGTGGAAACAAGGGGAAGGAAGAATGACTTTTGCTGGACCTACAGTGGTGTGTATCCTTCACACTTCTTCTCGCCTTAGTCATCTTCCTCTTTCTTTTCAGTGATATATTTACACCTTTCCACAAGCCAATTTATTCCTATATCTGGTTCTTCCCTCTAATCTTGATGTCATAGTATCAGTCAACTCCTCAGAGCCGGAAAATATCCAGTGATTTCATGGAATCTGCTTCATGAAATTTGCCATCCCAACTCTTTCGTCTTTCATCGTAAAGCTAACTTATCAGACCTCTACCTCCAAATCCGATTCGACTTCCATACCCACCTCCGCCTCAACTACCCTCCCTGACGTCTCAACTCTTCCATCCAAACCCTCGATCCCCTTTACGGAACATAACCCCTGGTTATCCAATACGAGTCTCATCGGGCCATCGAAAAAACGTAACGTCCTCTCTGGTTCAGAAGATAAAGGAACGAAACGACAACGTAAATTGGACAAAGAGGCCAAAGAAATGGAAGATGAGACTGTGGAGATTGATTTGAATTTCATCAGGTCTATTCCTCTCCATCAGAAAGCTGGTGGGGTACATGGTTCTTCCAAAAGTACGACCGGGCCAAAAAGTCTCTCTACCGTTTCAGTCGATGGTTTGAGGGAAGAAAGTACCGAAGGGATTGTTCAGACCAACGCTGGATTCGGTCAGAACCGGGCAAAGAACGTTTCGACTTCGACCGTGCGAGCAGGTGATGATGATAAAAGAAAGACCGGGAAGTCCAATAAGAAATCAAATGATGGAACAGGGACAAATGAGAAGAATAAAGAGTTGGAGGAAGAAACGGAAAGTGAGACTGAAGATGAAGATGAACAAGATCTTCTACCCATCAATGACAACTCGGTCAAACCTTTCAAACAACGTGATCTCGTAGCAGAAGCGTTTGCGGGTGATAACGTTTTAGAAGAATTTCAATCAGAGAAGGAAAAACAAATCGAATTAGATGGACCTAAAGTTGAAGATACTTCTTTACCTGGTTGGGTGAGTACAAATTTCTTTCTTTTTCCTTTTTCCCCTTTTTTCATCTCTATCTTTTTATTTGCTCGTTTCTCTCATATTCATTATACTTTCAAATGAAAAATCCATCCTTTCCAAATTCTTTCAGAAGACAGAGAATTCTTACTTGAACTTCTCATTTTACATTTTCTGAAATCTCAACATAATCTATACTTGACAACTATCCATCTTGTTTCTTTCTAGACATCTGTTTAAAACCAACACATCTTTCCCTAGTATAGTTATATCTCTCCTCATTTCCTCACGATCTTCCATTTCAAACATTCACATTCACATTGAAATTCTATTGGATCGAGTTACCGGATGAATGACCTCACACCACCTTTGAAGTATTCCCCTTAAAGTATTATTATACACTATCATCTATCCGGAACGTTCGGACACGTAGATACTCATCACCAACCTAAACACTCGGACAATTAGATACTCATCACCAACCTAAACACTCGTACAATCAGACACTCATCACCAACCTAAACACTCGGACAATCAGATACTCCTCATCATATCCCATATCAAAACTCTGTGAACAAATAAACAATCTTCAAATTCAAAAAAAAATCAACTAACATACAGGGATCATGGTCTGGAAGAGGTTTGAAAAAACGTACGACAACAAATCCGAAATTCTTAATAACCAAACCTGGTATATCACCAAATCAAAGAAAAGATTTCTCACGTTCAAATGTTATCATAACAGAACGTACGGAAAAGAAATCTCAAGGATTCTTAACGAAAGATTTACCTTTTCCATATACGAATACTGGACAATATGAAGCTAGTTTTTCTGTACCTGTAGGATCTGAATGGAATTCTAGGAAAGTTTATCAGAGGGAGACCATGCCTAGGGTTGTTAAGAAGGTTAGTTTTTGTTGGATTCTTTGTCTTTTTTTCATTCTCCCCCATTTTTCCAACATTTTTCCCCCTTTTCTTGACTTGATCTTCACTTTGTGTAATTTCTATTCATCATTGATTTTGATTTGGTATATACCTTAAATTATATTTTTCATCTTAAGTGTCTGCCAGTGCTCGTCTCCAATCTTCATCGTCGGATGTCCCTTGTGATTCCGAATCCTTATCATCTATCCATGTATCGTACTTTCCTTATCTAATTCCCATCTCTCCAATCATTCCCATCTCTCAAACTATATTCATCATTGTGGTCTACTTATTCCTCGTCTTTTCTTCACCATCTCCCATCTCCCATCTGCCCACTACCTATCATCCTTGTTTCCCAATGTGGCTATCAAGAACGATGAAACGACTCAGTCCATCTCTCGATATCTTCATCTCCCTAGAGGAAAATGTTACCCAATATATCATCCATAGGAAAGTTGGAAGAGATTTAAGACAAGTTAAAAGGGGGGGGGGGGGGGGAGAGTTATGAAGCTTGAAAAGAAACAAGTATATAAAACTGATCTTCTCAGCCTGGGGCAATTATCGAACCTATTCGTCGATTATTTTAAATACCTCTCCCCTCCCCACTCTTCCTATCCCATCAACGCCTCCATCGAATTTCACACAAATCGAGTTCCAATACGAATACAAACACAAACCACTAGAGTCATCTTCATCGTCGTTTCGATACATTTTCATCCATGTTTAGCATATCAATAAATACAAATATTTACATGTGTGGTGATTAAACAGTTACAAAAATGCATTTCTTCCTGTCTAGATATCAGAAGCGTATCATCAGAAGTTCTCATGTCATTTATGTTTCCCAATCGAGTTCAACGTCTTGAAGATGAACACCCATCTCATCTTTCTTTGTAATGAGTGACACATTTCACTTTTGAGATGTTTACTCTAGTGATATCCGAAAACATCAAATTCATGAGAACTACCGTGAGAGATAATCGTAGTGATGAAATCCCTCTTTACTTTGAATTCTTTCCAAATACGTCTTATGTATTTGGCATCTTATCAATACGTCTTATGCAAATAGTTGAATGCATATATGTCAAGAAAGATCAGATGTGAATATCAAGATGTACACATGAAAATCAAATGAATTATAATGTAATGACCTCCCCTCCATGACACGGACCCGCGACGGCTTCTACGCTCTCAACTGGAACCAAAGATGAAAAACATAACCATGAAGCAGAATACACTCTTTGTATGGCATAGAATCACTCGATCTCAAAGAGCATAGAGTATTGAAGAGAAATGGACTTTGTTTATCATGAAAGTTTCAATGGTAATGCATAAGTAGACTTTAATAAATAACACAAACTTCAATAATAACAATCACACAACCAATCAACATTGTGATTCCCACAGGAAAGAAATTACTTTTAGAGAATTTCTTTACTGTTACTTGTATACCTCTTTGAGATAATATATCACGCCATAAAAGTCCAGCGAGAGAAGCTGAGAATACTAGAGAATAAGCACCTAGGTTGCTTCCTAATGCGAGGGAAAAGATGGTTGCGTAGAGTGATCTAGAAGATGGTGTGGGGAGAGAAGATTGCCATGATTGGATGATACCTAAAGGTCAGCATATTTTTTAGCTTAATAGTGATTCCAGTATTATGCACTATGGCGTATCATATTTGAGTGTAGTGTAGTGAAGTGAAGTGTAGTGTAATGTCATGTCGTGTCGTGTAGTGAAGTGTAGTAGGATCATAATGTAGTGCAGTGAAATTCAGTGACTCGAGGTGGACCAACCAAACCCATATGGCCGAGATGACAAGGGACAAATACGAGAGTACAGGATTTAAAAGAAAGGTTAAAGAGATGAGAAGATAAGCTCATATGGGAGAACAGTTAGAAGGTGAAGAGAGAAGGAAGACTCACGAGAAAGTAAAACAGTAGCACCTATATTCGTCCCGAAAACATTACATCCCAAAACACTTAAAATACCCATCAACCAAACACATCCTACCATACCTCCCACTTTAGCCCAAGAAACCCACCATCCTCCGAACACTCGGATCCAACCTACGTATTGAAGAGCTTCAACGAGGATGAACATTGAAAATGCGAAAGGGAGTAAAGGAAGTGGTAAACGGGAAAAAACAGTGGTAAAAGTTGGTAAGGTTTTTTGTATTTTTCCAATTATCGGTAATGTTGACGTGTGTGATTTAGGTTTGACATTGTTGATTGAGGTATCTTCCTGAAGGTTATTTTCATCTTTTTTGGTTGCCCCGTTCCTGTTGGCCTTTTCTGGACTTTGAATTTCATTGTTTCGGTAAGTCAGAGGAGGGTATTGAGAAGCACCAGGATGTCCATCTGGGAAATCAGGAGAAGAGGATGTTGGAATGGTGCTTTTGAGAACATCACTTTCGCCCCCAAGAGAAATGTCGACCATGCCAGACGTCGGTTCATGGTGTGTAGAAATTAAAGTAGTTGAAGGTCCGTTAAGTTTGGGATATTTGATATCGACATTGATATCGTTATCGTCTTTCTCCTTCGCTGTGATACTCGATTGAGAGCTCGGGACCACACCGTCTGGTAATCTCCCTTCCAACTCCACATCTTGTACCGTCCCACCCTCATACCCATCATTCGATCGTCTTCTTCCCTTGTACAAATCATAAATACAATCTCTCAAAATCATCAAACCAGCAGCAGGAGCTGTGATAGTCCAAACTCCTTCTGTACCTTCTAACAAACCTCCCGCACTCAAACCCACTAACAAAATGATAGTCACAATCAACAATACTGCCCCAAACAAAGCTCCCCAAGGATCTACCAAAGCTTCTCTCGCATTGACCTTTGGAGCATCCAGTTTTTTAGGTATACATCCCTTGAAAACCACCCATCGAAGGATGGGATAAAGTACTATAGCAGCTGATACTGTTGGTAATGCCAGCCAAGCGGAGTAACGTAAGAAAGAAATACCGAACGCTTGAGTTAGGACGAGATTTGTAGGGTTGGAAGAAACCAATAAAGCGGAAGTGAGGTTGGCAGATTGGAAATGCGCGAAAAGAAATGCGAATGTTGCTGATGGATCTAAAGATGCGTGAGAGGTGAAATAAGCTAAGAAAGGAGTACCGGATAGGATTAGAGGATCGTTTCCTACTCCCAGACCGATCAATACGAAGAAAATGTAGAAAGATAGATGAAGACGAGTTCCGGAGGTGGATGTTCGGGATGCGACTAGGAATGCTAGGTAACGGAGGAGACCAGTGTGGTCGAGAGAGATCGATATGTAAGCCTGGGCGTGAGTGTTGTGTGAACCGGACCTTGAGGTAGATCCACTCAAGACAAGAAGATGACAAGGAGGGGAGCTGTACCAGCCGCGGAGAGATAAAGAAACTAAGAGAACCAACAGCCGTCAAATTAATCTCGAGAAAGAGTGAAGGAGAAAGGTTGACCGTATAGAGATCTTGGTGGAACACAAGTCAGAAGGGAAATATGAGAGAGAGAGAGAGATGGAGAAGGTGGTGGGGGCAAGAGCACACTTACAAAAGCAGTAAATAAAACCATTATATCATAAGGTCTCACACCACCACTCCCGACGATCCCATCTCTAACCACATTCCCAGGAATACAAGTAGAAGCGAGTAACAATAAAACTCCAATCACAGGAGCTGTACTTAATCCTAATGGGAAACACCATCTTTCATTTTTTCCTTTTTTCTCCACCTGAGAATTTCTTTTTTTCTCCACCTGAGAATTTCCTTTTTTCTCCACCTGAGGATTTTCCCCTTCGTCAGAGTCATTGAGTTGACCAATTTCTCTTCTCTCGGTTTGTAAGGGATCTTCAGAGAGAATAGGAGTAGTAGGTTGATTCTGGATCCATCGTCCAAGTAAACGATCGTATATCCGTGGAAAGAATAATGGTAATGGGATATAAATTGGCCAAATGACAAGAGTATCTATGATCAGTTTTTGAATCTCTCCATTTATCCCTACTTCCATATAATTAGACCGCTGATTTTATGATCACTGGGACGATTATAGCCCAACATGAATGGTCGGCCGTCGGAGGGGTATGAGGCAATCATCATAGAGATAATCCCACTCGTCATGAAGGATAGTCAACGAACACGTGCGATACTTAAGTTATACCAGTGTTGGATACGTCATGATTGAGTAAAGGGTATAAGAAGGCTGTTGAGGATGAGATGAGAAGAATATGGAGTATAGATGGTAAATTGACCATGAATGAAGTAAACTCACTAACGACGAAAAACACTATCAACGTTATTATAGCTCTTGCGTCGATAGGATGGGTAGAAGGGATATACGAGTTCATCTCTTTTTCTTGGAGGGAAGAGTGGTTGAAGAGATTGTTACTTGTTCTGCCATCATGTACAGGTCGGAGATTAATTTTTCCGTATTTTGTATGATACGATGATGATGATGATGGCTTGATGCTATGATTGAGAAGAATGGAAAGGTGACTTGAGTTGCATTGCCTTCCCCACTTTACCCCCACTCGCCATGACAGTTTATTACTTTTACCCCTCTTTCTTCTACTCCTACTCTGATCTACCGACTTCGGATTCAGCATGAGCATGAGAGTAGATTTGATGATGAGAACCACATGCAAGCTAGCGTCACTTCATAAACATATACGGGTGTATACAAGATTAGCATGCTCCTGAAGTTTGATCCCAAGGAGGATCCTCAACCCTGGTAAAACAAGCCACAAATTTCGATCCTTTATTCCTCTCCACCTTCTTACCCTCTTCCGTACTGGTCCGTACTGCCAACAGGATAGGATCGTCCTCCAGCTCTTCAGTGGGTATCAAAGTGAATAATGGATGTTTGGATAGATGAGAGAACATCCATTCGTGTAGGTCTGAACATCAGTTTGAGGATGAAGTTTGACGGGAGGACTGACCAAGGACATCTGTGATGGTGTAAAGTATACCACCGGGTCGGAGGACGTATGCGTATTCCGCCAAAAGGGAAGTTCTAAATGTCAGAGATAAAGCAACAGAGAGAGAGTACAAGCTCGGGGGAATGGGAAGCAACGAGGAAGAAAAGAAAGGAAAGACCCACGTAATTATCCTCGCTTTCTGTTTTCTCACTTTGAAATGAGGATCAGGAAAGAGAAAGAACATTTTACTCAATTGATGTTTATGGAAAAAGTTTGGCATATGTTTCATAGAATTCGCCCGGATGACAGAAACGTTTTGATACCCTCCTGGTATATCTTTGGAGCTTTCTTCTGTATCATCCGCTTTCTTCTCAGAAGGGTTTGAGGATGCCTCGTCTGTGTCTCCTGAATGTAGAGTGGGTTCTTCATGAGCCAAAGAGGGTTGGATGGAAGTAGGAATATCGACTGGGGACTTGGGTAGAAGTGAGGGGTTCGATGTTGATGTCGAGGGAGGGGGGAAATGTTTCAGTAATTCAGCTTGTCGAGAAGCAGCTATCTTATCCGATACGTAGGTCGTCACTGCTGTTCTTATCTCCATACCTGTTCATCAGTCAATGAGTTTCAAGTGATTTGCAGAATATCTACGAGGCATGAAGACTTTCGGGAAGGTGAATGATCCATGGACCTCGAGGAAGTTGGCCCCATAGATGGATAGATTTCGCGTTCGCGCACTTTAGATACACCCCCGAGAGGGATAATCAACGAAAGACGGTCAGAATCAGACATTGACAAGTTGAAGTTTCTGAGAAAGAAGGGGGAATGAGGTTGAGGAGAGGGGAAGAGGGAGAAAGAGAAACTCACCCAACATCAAAACATCCGGAAACATAGGAGCTAAAGCCATTAACAATCCACCAAACCCACATCCCACATCGGCCCATTCGACCATTTTTGTTTTGTCGGTGAGTTGAGAAGAGAAAGCTGGATAATGAGAAATCCAATCCATGTGGTTTGGAGATGAGGGGCTGGGTATTAATTTATTTGACAAAACTCTGGACTACTTTACCTCTTCTGATGGTGTCTACTTCATGGATAAAAGGGGTTATGATACCTTCACCTCGTATAGCCTATCACTTTGATACTGAAGAAGAAGAGAGAGAGCTTGAGGGAAAGAAAGAGAGATAGAGAGAGCGTCAACTCACTATTCAAGTGAATGGTCATTGAAAACATTGGCATGTGCTCTTTGTCTATAAAATCGTTTCTATCAAATCAGTACGTCATCACTCACCATACCTCTCCCCGTCCTTCATTCCACTTTGAGAGCGAAGAGACGGATGAAGAAATGAGACTTAACTTACCTGTGGAACCCGTAACAATGTCTTTCCTTCTACGTTCTCAGATAAACCATCTGCATCTTCACTCTCCCTAGACCTTTTAGGCATATTTTCTACTTTATTCTTGCCCTTGCCGTTATGGTCACCCTAAATACTTAATGGAAGATTGTGGGTTCATGGACATTTTTGGGTAGAAGCGGGATCAAAATTCGAAACGATAATTGATTCCGTTGAAACTCTCAACTTGCGCGTGACAAGACATCATCCAACAGTCAGTCTACCACTACAACTTGGACTGTATGGAATCACATGGGGAATCAAGATTGGACCACAAGCAACTGACAATCCACAAGCTAGAAGTACGAAACTGGAAGAAATAATCTAGGAGAAAGGGAAAAGAAGATAGGAGATAGGAGACAGGAATTAGGGGATACTTCCTCTCTCCATCATGTCTTCTTTACTCCTATATCACACCTTTCGTCAAACCAGAGGTATCCATACAACCCCATCCCCAGAAATCATCCGTTCAAGAGGTAGAATCCGTCCTACCAAACCTAAGATTCCCAAAACTACTTTATCATCTCAACCTTCTCCTTCTAATACTTCTATCCCACCCATCTCTACTTCTTTCACCGAACACAACCTTAAGTCTCATGTTGTCGTCGCTCCTATCGTTCAATCAGAAAAGATGACATATCTATCTCGTCGGAAATTTCGACTTTCCAATCCACCAACACCTCGTCATATCCATCCAGGTCAACTAAGATATGAGAAAGAAATTCGGAATCAATCATCAACTAACAGAAACTCCAAGTATACCCCAAACACGGCTTTGAATTTGGAAATGGCAATGGACAAGGAAATGGATAACAGAAGAAATATAGTATCAACCTATCTTACGAAGAAAATAAAGACAATAATATCTCTTACTCCTCCTCATATGCCTTTACCTCTTCCTCTTTATTCATATCCATCTCTTCTTTCATCAAACTTTCATCCAGATGAATTATCCAATGTACATCTTCCACTTTCTACTTCTCACAATCGTCTTTTGGATGGAGAAACATGGTCTCACACTCAAATGGCTGTTGGAGAGGCTTGGTCAAAACTTACCAAATGGGATGATATGGAAGATTCTATTCTTTTAGATCATTTACGAGTCCGAACTGTTTTCAACAAATTTGAACATTTAGCTCCTGTACAACCTACCTTTCCTACACTCTCTTCTATTCAACCTTCCTCTTCCTCAATACAAAACACGCAGGTTGGAAAAAGTGATAATGAAGGTCGTCAGCAAGAGAAAGAGTTTAGGTCTTCACTGAATACTCGTAATTTAGAGGATATCGAGGAAGAAGATTTGTCATTATCATCATCACAAACGCATAATTCAAGCAAGGAAAATAATTATGATTCTGGATACTCGTCAATCGGGTACAATCATCATGACCAAGGAGATAATTTATCACGAACGTTGAATGAAGCAGGTATAAAAACGACTTTGTCTCGTCAAGTAACTTGGGAAAATGTCTTACATCATTTAGGTGATCAAACTTTTTTACAAAACCAAAATCTCACACAAGTAAGTTTCATTCTCAATTTCTCATTCTTCATTCTTCATTCTTCATTCTTCATTCTTCATTCTTCATTCTTCATTATTCATTCTTCATTCTTCATTCTTCATTCTTCATTCTTCATTCTTCATTCTTCATTCTTCATTCTTCACTCTTCATTCTTCATTCTTCATTCTTTATTTTCATTTTTCTTTCTTTACTTTTGACTATGAGATACAAAGCATTTTCATTATGAGATCCAAAGCTGAAACAATAGATGAATTCAAATGAAATCATGAAGAACGGGAACTTGAGTCAAAGTCAAAATCAACAAGCAGTCCAAACAGCTGTAAATGGTCTTTCGGAACTTCTTGAGAGATTACATAACGAAGATATGATACAATTGGATAGTGTGAGGAGAAAAAGGAAGAAGAAAATGTCTAAACATAAGTATAAAAAGAGGAGAAAGGTGAGTGTTTTTTATTATTATTGTTCTCTCTCTTTATATCTCATATCACCATTCACCGTTGAGGTTACGTGTTATCATCAGGCGGATCATTTTTATTCTTTTTGGTTCCATCGACTAATGTAAAATCTTGGACATCTGGGACATCTGGGAGATGTTCATCAGTATGAATTATATGTCATGGATGAACAATTAGGGGAGGTGGATGTGTGAGAGAGATAAATATTGATGATTAGGCGACAAGGGCCACGAGACGTAGGTTAGGGAAATGATCTGAGATATGCATTGCATCGTTAGTCCATTACGTCATGAGATACTTACGGACGTTGCTCATATGATGACTTACATTGCAACACATGATTCGTCTTCTCGTTGTGCCGACCAAGACCAAATCCACGTCTCGGTGGGTGTAGTTGTGACCAAGTAGAATAGATAGGTCGGTGACTACTTTGGCAGTCAAATGGGAAATGTCATGCGATTGGAAAGAAAGAGAAGCGTGGTACAGTGCAACTGCATGCAACAATCTCGTCAAACTTACGATCTATAACTTCCATGCATGTTGTATTTCTTACTTGGCCAAAGCGGCTTGAAGAGCTTCAAACACTACCAACTCTACACCCGCTTCTGCCTTTTCAGCATCTGGTGCCGCTGAGGATAAAACGCGATTAGCATCTGCCAATCCTGCTCTAACGTTCTATTTCATCAGCATAATTCCACAGACCAGAGACTACAAGTATCACACAGCTATACACCATTGACTTATGATTATAGTACAAAAAAGCTAATCATGTTGACATTCTTATCTTAGTAAGTATGGTCATAGTGTAGGAATTGATAGATGATATTATGGCCGGAAAGGATATAATAAATGAAGATATGGTATTGAACTCACTTCGAGAGAAAAGTTTTCCAATGGATAAGCTTCCACAGCGTTTATAGTGAGCATGTTATTTTCATGCATCGTCGCGAAACCCGTTGATGCTGATCGTTAGTCATCTCTGGCACATCTCAACCACCTGTTGTTGCCTATTAGTCCCATTTGATCTCATGTCCAATGGTAGGTCGTTGAATGACCAAACGAGTCATTTTGTTTACACATACATCGGCAGAGGGATGAGTGGGTATTACAGAGAGAAGGAAGAAAGGTGAGAGAATTAAATCGACGCTATCAGATTGTGATTAGATGGATGAGGAGAGGAAGTAAAAAGTGACCTACCAAACCACTTTTTGGTACTACCACCTTCTTCGATAACCTCGATGACACCAGGTCGAAGAGCTTCAACAACAGGAACGTGTCCAGCTAGAATACCCATATCACCACTTGCAGCAGAAAGGTTGACTTGGGTAACAGCAACGGAAGAGTAGAGGGACTGTAAGTCAACGGTAAGTATGTAACACATGATTGTAAAGGCATGATGAGAGGTTTATCCTTCCCAAGCCTGACTTTATATCTCTCAAGATAAACCATTCCGCACAGAAACAACAGGAGTGGTAAATGGGGTAATTGATGGAAGTAAAGTTAAGGCTGTAAGAAGAGTTGTGAGAGTGAATGAAGAAACGAGTAAAGACTCACCTGATGAGGTAAAACCAAACTCAATTTCAACTTGTCTTCGGCTACATCTGCATATCCTCTCTTACTGAGTTTCCCCACCGTAGGAATCCGTCGAGCTAGTCGGAGAGAAGGGAGGAGACGAGAGGAGAGCATGTCGCTAGGGTATCAGTTGGATAGTTGGATAGTTGGGATCAAGTGGTCAAGAGGTTACTTACGGTATACGGGTTTGTGTGTGGAATGCACGGCAGGGAGGAACCGGAGTGGGAAGGGGAAGGGGAAAGGGGTTAATGCCGTGTAACGCCGAGGAAGAAGGTAGCGTGGCAGCCTTAAGTTACCTCCTTCTCTATCCCTCTATCTATCTCACTACCAATCACCCGTTCAATACACGAGTCCAGCTGTATGTAAGTCATGGACAAAAGCTGAGACAGATCCACTCTGGACCGAGAAGCTCTACATATCACCAAAAACATCGTCAAGCATGTCAAATTCCCTCGCCTTAGCCCTCAAAACCATCCCGACGTCGGACTGCCAAGCCGTCCCCTTTCCACCTCCACCTCCCCCCTACCCTCCTTCCCTCCTTCCCTCCCAAACCCTTGCCCATCCTGACGTTCCAAACCTCATCGGCCGCCGGTCACATCAATAACAATCTCTTCAAACCTTGCAGCCTCACGGAGTCAATCTCTCGTTACTCCCTGACGACAATCTCTCTTGGAGACGATTCTGTTCGACACCCTGACCATCCTGACTCGCTACTTGGATACTGACCCCTCCACTCGTTTACCCTTTCGAAAGAGACTCGGATCAAGTTGTAAATATGAAGATATATAATCATCATTTCATCTCTCTTCGAAACTCAACCCAACTATTCTTCACTTTTTTCCATTCATTTTCGGCACTGGTTGCCTTAGCCTGTGGCATTCAACTTTCGACTCTTTTTTACATTTGACGTGATCCCTCTAGACTTCAACCTAACACAAAACACTTTAGACGAAATGTACTCTCTCACTCATCTTTTGGCTATCTTACCGTTGCTTGTTACCCTAGGAGGGGCTCAACCGGTCAAGACTTCTTTCAAACGAGAAGTACCTCAAGGTAAGTCCTTTTCCTTCATGACCTTCTTCTTCAATTGCGGGTCTATCTTCGTATTCATGGGGTGGAAAATGACTGATGGATAGAACATTCTCATGAACAGTTTCTTACCACTGTCAGAGCTAGTCTGAACGTCAACAACCCTTTAGGCATTAAAGACGTGTAAGAGTCATTCATATCTACGTCCCACAACCCACACCCCAGACCTAGACCTCTTGAACCCCGAAAGAGATAGGGTTTCCGAGACATTGGCTATGGATTTGGACATGAAACGGATGTCTGATAATCAGCGTTTTCGGTCTTTTGGGTAACGCAGCTGCTTCAGCCGGTCAAGGACAAGTCACCGATACTGATTGTCTACAACAAGCAACGGCCGATCAGGCATTCACCAATGCCAAAGCTGCCAACGATGTGGCAGGTATGACGGCAGCTTTGATTTATAGGGCGCTTGAGAGGAATACCGGAGCGGTAGGACAAGCGAGTGTTTTATGGTCAGTATATATCTAACTTACTCTCAATCACCAATCTTTCTTCCTTTTTCGAATATCACCATCCGAATTGGAGATTAATCTGTTTCTTCGGAATGACTGCTAATGGTCAGTACGGAAACTGCGGTCAATCCTGAAATCGGTACGTATTTTCTACAACTTTGATTCAGTCAACTTTTTTGACTAATCCATCAGCGGCCATCACTCAGCACCAAGACCCCGCGTCGGCTAATGCGGCAGCTACGAACAAACAAATTGTCTTGGAGTTGGCCAAGCAAAGTGAGTCTATTGAATTATCTTGTCTCGAATCTTCATTTACCTCTCTGACTATCTACCACACCAATCATGTTTCCATATGAGTGGACAAATCTTTTTAAGATGATAGGGGAAACGAAGTAAGATGACTGATTATTAGTCGCTTCCATTGGCGGAAACCCACAAGATGCTATCAAATCCGGTACATTCGCTCCTGGTGTTATTGGTGATCCCACCGGAGCGGGTAAAACATGTGATGTGGCCAACGACCCCACAGGTTGCATCTTCACTCAGAATTTGCTCGTACCTGTGAGTCCCTCTCCTTCGCCCGCTTTTTGTGTAGGCCGCACGACGTTGACAAGATGTAGGATGCGACACCTGACGAGATCGATGCAGCTGTATCGGCCGCTGGGTTGAGCAATGTGGCTTCTAACTCGACTTCCACAGCGTCGAATCTCGTGAGTGATGCCTGTGTAACTTGAATCGCAGCTGATGGTAGGCCGCAAATGGTACATGTAGTGCGGGTCAACGTAGGAGACGTGCTCTCCCTGTGAGTTCTCATACATCACGCTCAAGTTCACTCTCTGTGCTGTTTCCCCCGACGTACATTTCGACAGTCGCAAAACTCGCTCTGACATCGAGAATGTATCTGGGGAGATTCGTGACCAGTCGGCGCTGACGGACAGACCAAGAGGCAGAACGCCGGAATCGATGTAGGACCTTGTACCGACTTTTCTATGACCTTCGCCGCAGGCTTTGATAATAGAGGAGCCGAGGAATCATTCGAGCCGACTGACACTACGAACTTTGCCCACGGCTCAGCGCTGAACCCGGATATCATTGCTAAAGTTAGTAACTACCTCGTCTCGTCAAGCTCGTATCTTGTTCCATTCAGCGGAACTCACACCTATTTCTCGTCGGCGCTTGTCCTCATTTCCGCACCTCGTGTCAACCGTGAGGGGAGTGTGTGGTAAAGATAGCTGATATTCTTAGTTCATGTGTGATACATTCGTCAACCAATGTGCTAAGTCAGCTTCGACTAGAGATACTGTACGTCATTTCACTCCTCCCCCTACCTGTCTGTATGAGAGACTCGAAGAGATATGATGAGAGCTGATGATAGTGCGCCACCGTCGAAGCCGACCTTCTCACCAAGCTAAACGATGGGACATTGCAGAAAGACCAATCATACGCTGACGCCTGGTTGGCAGGAGTGAGTCAAATCTCTTCACACTCTGATTGAAATTGGCGATACTAATGGAAAGCTCGAATCAGCTTTCGGTATCACATCAACCGGTACGGGCTCAGGATCCGCGGCTGCTTCTTCTGCAGACGCCTCTTCAGCGGCCGACGACGCATCGACCGCCGCGGAAGACGATTGCGTTGATGACACTGTTCCGGAGGATTGCGAGGATGACACTTCGGATGATTCAACGGCGACCACTACCTCTTCGACCGATGCGGCTACCGCTGCTGTTACGGCCGCAACGACCACTGCCGCTGCTGCCGCCACTTCTGACGCGACCACCACTGCCGCTGCTGCTGCTGCCACTGGATCTGTAAGTTCCTTCTTCCCCTCGTCATCACCCTTTTATTCTGTGATCCTGCAACGACGAGTCGCTCCAGTTGACGATTTCCCCTGTTTCCCACGTAACAAGCTGATGAGGTGTCGCCATCGGTTGTGCACTTGGAGACGCGAAGTATCACGCCAAGCTCTTGGTGTAATGATCCAGCTTCTTGTTCAACGGAATACAAAGACTTTTTCGTCACGCCCATGCCCACTTCGTGATTTTGAGGATGAAATGGTGTATAGAGGATCCAAGCTGATGATAGGTCGCGGTAGGTACAAACGTCAACACTTTCACTGGTGCTTTGAACGGAGCTCAACCTGTTCCCGTGACCTTTGTGGGAGGAGAGAGGGGTGAGTGTTCCATCTCTCGCATTTACAATAATTTCCTTATCTTGTAATTCCTTTCCCACCTGGGTCAAGTTATACTTTGGAATCATCCTTCAACCCTTCAACCCCTCAACTCTTCAACACTCCAACGTTTCGGCTCACCTTCACCTTTCAAACGCAATGATGCCGCTCTCGATCATGCCATCGAATCATGACCGATACTTAAATAACCCAAAATGGAAGTTAACAACCTAGCATTCCAAGTGAACGGTGATACATTCGTCAATAAATCCGCTGCCATTCAACGTGCTTGTTCCGTCCAGAATAACGCCTGCGCGGACGCTTTCAACTCTAAAAAAGGGACTTCATCAGTGGCGGATTGTAATGCCCAAGAACAAAAATGTGAAGCTCAATCTGCGTAAAGTCTTGTTTCCACAAGCAGAGGGGAGATGGTAAGATGGTTATGTATCTGAGGTTTGTGTGGGTTGCAGTGTGGAGGTGAGATGTCGTGAGTGGTAAGAGGGATATACCGAACATTTATGCACCTTTTTATCTTCTTTTTTTTTCGTCTCATCTCTCATGTCAAAAGTCTTATCTCTTAGACACCGCTCGTGATGGAATTATGATATCTGAGTTTGGATGAAAGTCATGTCCGTCTGGCTAGATCGATGGTGAATAAAACGACTGCGTAATTTGACTTTATCAAGTCTTAAGTCGAGTCAAGACATGACCAGTTGATGATCGATGATCAGTAAGACTAAGAGTCATGTATGGGGAACATTTTGAGTGTACTCTGATGCATGACATACACCCCCAGATCTTTCATATGACCCTATAGCTTGACGTGCGAATGGTTTTGCAACTCGAGAAGATCGATCATGTACATTCATCATTCTTGTGAATTGTTCATTGAACACGATTCGGATGAAAGACAAAAGCAAAAACAGTGGGGGGGGGGGGGGGGGAAGACGAGGAGAAGATGATGGAAGTTGTGGTATTGAAGAAAAGTGGGGAAAGACGTGAAGAACAGTGGGGAAAGTTGTTGTATTGATGAAGAGTGGAGAAAGTTGATGAAAGTCGATGAAAGTTGTTGTATTGATGACGAGTGGGAAAAGACGAGGAGAAAGTTGATGAAAGTTGTTATATTCGAGAAAAGTGGAGAAAGTTTGAGGAGAAAGTTGATGAACTGAAGAAAAGTGTGGAAAGATGAGAAGATGCGACGAGAAAGATAAAAGTTTTATCACGAATAATGTTTCAAACTCCATAACAAAACTTTCCCACGTTGATTCCCAACTGCTAAATGTTTACCTAAAGGATCGAAAGTGACTGAAGTTATTCGACCTAGAGGAGTGGTATCTCTTGGCCAATTTGAAAATGCAGTGAAGGAAGGTAGATGGTACTGAAAATTAACGAGGTTTGATCTACATCTTTCCATTTTCCAGTTTCCAGTTTCCTCACAGATTGAGACGGAGGGTAAGGGTTGAGGAAAGAGGGGAGACGAAAGAGGGAAGAGAAATTCTATTCTTTCTGATTTTGAATGAACATGAGGTGGATAGTTGAATAAATAGGAGATTTGGCAGTGTTCAATCCTCACTGAAGATATTTTCCAAGAAGAGGGACATCTTTGGATCACGGACTATCGGAAGACATTTGGGATGTGAGGATGAAAACAGAGTAACATTCGAATATCTGTCAGAAGAGATTCAAAGTATGATTTGAAAGACATAGTATGATTGAAAAGACAGAGTATGATTGAAAAGACGCAGAAGAGAATGACTTCATTTGGAAGAAGAGTAAAGTTGAAATTCAAATTTCAAAGAATGGAAAAACAAATGAATGATTTGAATACGGGTGGAAGAAAAATTGGTCGACTTACCAGTTTCAAAGCACCAGGTTTTGATCCACTAGCGGAAACCAAGATTTCTCCAGAAGGATGAAATTCCATACAATTTATCGAAGTTGTCAAATGTTCTAAACTTTTAATAGGATTTGGTCTGATGGAAATTGGTTCTTTATCATTTTTGAGACTTGATGTAGAGTAGACGTTCACTATACCGGTTGATGAACTGCTCATCAGCATTACTCGTACACGTCTGGAGCAAGATCATTCTCATGAAACGTAATGACTCTTCTGGATATAAGGAGTCTATAAGAGAGACAAGTCATATTGAGAAACAAATGAATTGTATAGAATAAAAAGGTTTTCTATAGGGTCTGGTGATTCTTCTAAATCGAAAAGATTATGAGAGAGTGATGTGTTATGATGAACTTACCCGACCGAAGTCCATTCTTTATCCTTTGACAACCTCATCAAACCTCCACCAAACATCCTATCATCCGACCATTTCTTTATAACCCTTCTTTCACCTACATCCCAAACCTCGACCTCTGATCCATCTCTTCCTCCTAAAATTGATAATTCTCCTTCTCCATTCCAAACCATATCCCCTACTGCACCCCCTCTTCCACTTTTCAACTCAGCTACAACAGCACCTGCACCTGCACTCCAATCGAGTATACTCACACAACCTCTTCGTCCAGCCACAGCTAGCAGAGTACCATCAGGTGAAAAAGAATGTTTTGCAAGGGAATTAGGTGTCGATGGACCGGGTTTAGAACCGAATAAAGCTCTCGGAGAACGTATGACCGTTTGAGAGGAAAGATCGTATGTGTAGTAATGTGGTCGAGGACCCGTGAGTATACATTGAGATCCGGAAGGATGGAAAGTGATGTTTTGAAGAGGTAAAGAAGGTGTGTGTAAGGTCAAAAGTGGGGGATTGGTTTGATCATCGATCTGTCATCAGATCAATCATGCTTCAACGTTCTTCAAGTTTATTGTCCTTCGTGAAGAATGAACCCGCTACTCATTCCTTGTCCAGTAATTATGGTCCTGCATGAATAGAATGACAATTCCCCAGCTGTCTCATATAGTATCTCAGTGTCAATCTATAAAGGAAGATTTGAAGAACAAATTGATGATGGACATAAACGGAGACTTATATGATGTGAGAGAAAGTGAAAAGACGAAGATGAAAATGGAGAAATATGTGGACGATACGATTTGAAGATAAACCATCAATCTACTCACTTGAAAAAACCTGACCCTTCTATCACCCCCAGCAACACCTACAACCCCAACTTGAGGATTCGGATGCCAAGCAACACTAACAACTCCACCCGCCGCATCCCTGGCTTGCATCTTCCCAGCGGTAGGGTTCTGATGATTTGCATCTTTAACTCTTTGTATAGATATGGTACCAGCTTCCAAAGATTGTCTTTTTGTCTGTCCAAGAATATTAGGAGCGATGAAAGATTTGGTGGACGCTAATAAGGCGGAAAGAGAGGGTTGTGATTGAGAGTGAGGAACAAGACGAAGTGAAGCCCATGAAGGTCGAGGATGAAGAGCTTCGTATCTGGTCATAAGTAAGCCATTTGCCAAGTTTGAAGAAATTTGCCCGAGTTTAATGGAAAAAACAGCCATCACAACCCCCTTCTCTCACCGGTAAAATTCCCACGAATACTCCAGATAAGTCTGAAAACTGAGAAATATGAGGAAGTGAAGCGATACAGAGAATAGAAAATGAAGGAACGAATAAAAAGAATGCGATGGAGAGCACATGGATTGAAAAGACGGTAGAGAAGAAACAGAACAGAAGAGAGGGAAGGAAAAAGAATTTTTAAAACTTACTGTTGTCTCAACCTTCGTTCCAATTCCACTCCATTGACTTTCCCACCACCTTTCCCCCTTCCTAATTTTCTCAACCTCTTATCAGAATCAAGATCCACCAAAATGGCATCATCAGCAGGATCTCTCCACAACTTTTTCTTTCTTTTCTCACCATCTTCAACTTCGATTAGTTCAGAGAAGTCCGTTACATTGGGAGCAGGAATGATATAAGCGTCTTCTTCTTCTTCTTCTTCCTGTGGAGTCTGTTTGTGTTTTGCGAGACGAGAGGAAGAAAGTTCATCATTGGAATGGTCATGTTCGTCCTCTGATTGAGAAGTATCCTCATCGCTGTTTTCTTCGGAACGAGAAGCAGGATCAGAATCATTTAGATCGCTTTCTTCAAATCCAGATTCATCTTGGTCGTCGTCGTTAGATTCAAAGTCGTTCCTATCCCCAGATGAACCACTGACGCTGTTCTCATGATCATCACCATCTTCTTCCTGCGAATTTCGATTGATATTCTTAGTGAATCTCGCTGATACGTCATGCGCTTCGGACTCGTCATCGGAGGGTAAATCAGCCAAGGGAGCATCGACCATGAACAGCTATTCTATCAGTTACTTGTTCCAATACCTCTCAGAAGTCGCTTGATACTCAAGACGATGTTGAAAGAAGGGATAGCGAGATACAAGATGACATACCTCTTCATCCATCATTTCCTTCATCCCTTCTCCCTCATCATCTTCAACAGACAAACCTGCCCCAACCCTAGCTTTCTTCCTCCTCCGACCGAACAACCTCTCTTCCAAATCCAGCTCTTCCTGACCCTTCTCCGTGTCATCCTCATCTACTCTCTCATGTCGCGTGATGTTCCGAGCCTGTCTTTTGCCCATGTTAGCCATGTTGCAGTTATAATTGTATGAACTAAGTATGGTCGAACATTTAAAGTTGAATATTTTGGAGGGGCGGCGATCACCGCAAAATAGGAGATCACGTGATCGTCAACCATGCATGACTTGGCTACAACACTAACAAATTAGACACGAAGACAACTCTTTGGCAAGAGAAAAGACAGAGAAGAAGGCATGGTCAAGGATAATAAGAGATGGGTGAGGTATTCAGATGTCATGATATGATATTGTTAAGACGACTGGACTGCGTGAGTCGGATGGATCGGTAATCTACGTTTTTCTAATCGGGCGTAATGTAACTGCCAATCAGTACGAATACTTCTTTCTCATCGCATCTCGTCCCGACATTCCCTGACCAGATGCAAATGAGCGGACAACTAGATAAGAAATATACTCAGAAATAAATATAAACAGAAGAGGAGGGAACCGAGAGAAATATGTCAATCGAGGAGGGAAAACAAGGTGGGTTAACGGATCATGATGGAAGGGATTCCTCCTGTGTGACAAGTGCGAGAATTATGACATTGTCGACTCTAGGAATAAAAGAGGGTAATCGACGAATAGCCAATGAAGAGGGAACATAAGGAATGAGGATATGTGCAAAAAGAACCACACTTACCCCACAAGTATCACATAAACTATCAGGTCCATCAGGTCCAGGTCTCCATTCACTCGTCATACCCGTACCGCAACCATGACACAATTGACCTGTTCTCACCGCTTTGTCATTCATGATAATCCCTTCTGCATCTATCATATTTCCTTGTGTAATCCCGAGAGTACTCTCCCTGCGATTTGTATCGGCGATATTTCTGCCATTCATATTGGCTGCTTGTGGTGTCATACCCGAGTATGAAGATTCAGCTAACATGGGCTTCTCTGGTATTCGAGTGGGAGACACTTCGCCGAGCCAGTTGTATTGGTCT